CAAGGATGCAAGGCCAACCTTGGAACACTGCTGACCCTTACTATGCACTTTGACTGGGAACTTCTGGAGGCCCGCGCGGATCTCTTGGATCGGGGATGGGCCGAAGGGGCAGGGATGCAAGGGCAACCTTGGAACACTGCTGACCCTCACTATGCGCTTTGACCGGGAACTCCAGGAGGGGATTGAGGAGGGGCAGGAGGAGGGGGAGGAGGAGGAGGAGGAGGAGGAGGAGGAGGAGGAGGAGGAGGAGGAGGAGGAGGACGGGTCGCCTGAGCCCCTCGGAGAAAGGCTGCAAGGGCAAAACCGCGGAGCACTGCTGACCCCTGCCGTGCGCTCCGACCGGGAGCTCCCCGGAGGCCCGCGCGGCTCTGCTGGCTCGGCGCCGTCGCCCCCTCGCCGCCGCGAGGGCCCCCCCGGCGCCTCTGCAGGAGATCCGCGCGGGGCGCAGAGGAGTTCTGCTCGGGCCGCCGGCTGCTTCTCCATCGCTGGCGGCGCGCACGAGGAGGGCAGGGGCAGGAGGCAGCTGCTGGGAGGCCTTCGTCGGAAAGAGTGAGGAGCTGTTACGCCAGAAGGGGCCTCGGATTAAGCCCCATTAGGGAGCTGTTACGCCAGGAGGCAGTTATAAGCCCCATGTGGGAGCTGTTACGCCAGAAGCGGCCTCGGATTAAGCGGGATTAAGCGGGATTAAGCCGGATTTAGCCGGATTTCGGGCAACGGCAAAATCAGAATTTGACCTCCCAGGAGTTGCACCCGAAGTAGGGGTAGGGGGGAGGGCTTCTTAGGAGGAGGCTGCTTCTTAGAAGGCGCCGGCCTTGCGTCCGTAGATGAGGCCCGCGCCTTCTAGGAGGCAAGGGTGCTTCTGAGAAGCGGGGAGGACGGGAAGGTCGGAGATCTGCTGACCCGGGTCAACCCAGACCCGGGTCAGCCAGGCGTTGCAAAATCCTGCAAGCTCCTGCAAGCTCCTGCACCCAGACCCGGGTCAACGCGAAGGCTCCCGCAAGCTGCTCCTGCAAGCTCCTGCAGGATCCTGCATCCGAGCCCGGGCCAGTGCCACCCATGGCCCTGCAGGACCCCTGCGAGGGCGGGCGCCCTGGCGGACCCCCGCTCGCGCGTCGGCCTCGCCTCGAGGCCCCCGAGCTGGGATGGGACGGGGCGGGGCACGCCCGGCCTCCATCATCGTCTCCACCGCCTCGCTGGACTTGTGGCCCGTGAGCGCCTCCACGGCCTCGCGCTCGCGCTGGCCCACCCAGGACTTCGCGTCGCGGTCCTCGCGGCCGCCAGGGTCGCTCCCCCGGTCCCTTCGCAGGAGGAGGAGGAGGAGGAGGAGGAGGAGGAGGAGGAGACGAGGAGGAGGGGGAAGAGGAGGGGAGGAGGAGGAGGACGGAGGAGGAGGGGGAGGAGGAGGAGGAGGAGGAGGAGGAGGAGGAGGGGAGGCGGGGGAGGAGGGGGAGGTAGGAGGGAGCAGCGAGGAGGGGGAGGAGGAGGGAGGAGGAGGAGGGGGAGGAGGTATGGAGGGAGGGGAGGAGGAGGAGGAGAGGAGGAGGAGGAGAGGAGCGAGGAGGAGGAGGAGGAGGAGGGGAGGAGGAGGAGAGGAGGAGGGGAGGAGGAGGAGGAGGAGGAGGAGGAGCAGAAGGAGGAGGAGGAGGACGAGGAGGAGGAGGAGGAGCAGGAGGAGGAGGAGGAGGAGGAGGAGGAGGAGGAGGAGGAGGAGGAGGACACTGCTCGTCCCTCGGGCAGCGGGGCAGAGCCGGCGCGGGCGCGCCCCGGCTCCTCGCCGGCCCGCCCGCCATGCCTCCCGCCTCTGGTGCTGCCGCCGAGGGGGGCTCCGCTGCGCGGGGGGCCCGCCGCCGCTGCTGCTCGTCATTCCCGCGTCCTTCTCCTCTGCCCCTCCGCCGTGGCTCGGCGGTCGCTCGTGCGCGCCGCGCAGCACCAGGGCTGCGCCCTCCTCCTCCGTGGCGTCCTCCCTCCCCTCTCTCTCTCTCTCTCTCTCCGAAGGCAACGGCCGTACCCCGCTTGCTCCACTCCGCGTCCTTGCTGCACTTCCCTGGCGAACCTGGCCAGCGCTTGACTTCTGCCGGGGGCACACGAAGTGTCAATCAGTTCGTCCACCTGTCTCATGTCCTTGTCCTTGATGTGCTTTCTGAGCTTGTCTGTAAGAGTTCTTTGTATGTTCCATGTCCTCGCTCATCTCGACCACTATCAACGGGCGACGCACGTTTCTCTTCAAACCCTGGATCATGTGGGCCCCTCGGTGACACCTCTCCTGCCCCTCCTCCTCTTCACTGAGGTCTCCAGGCGTCTCTGGAGGCCGCTGGAGGTCCCCAGAAGCCCCCGGGGAGGACTCCGAAGGCCGAGAATTATGTCGGGCGTGTCCCCCTACAGGGGGAGTTTCGACGAAAAATGAAAAATACCCCAAACATACCCCAAGAAGGTCAACAGATACTCAAACAATACTCCCCATACTATGTTTTGCTTATTCATTATATATACACATATATATATGTATATATATATATATATATCCATATATATATATAGATATACATATAGGTTTTTATTTTTCGTCGAAAATCCCCCTGTAGGGGGACAGGCCCGACTTAAAGCCGAGAGCCGAGCAGCAGCGTTGGAGCACCGCACCCCCCCCCCCGGCACTGGGGGCAAAAGCCAACTGCCGAGTGTAGCAAGTGCAGCCTCGGCGGCGCGCCCTGGGGGGGGGCAGCGAGGAGGGGCGGGCCTCCTCGGCAGGCTCGACGGGCCCCTCTGAAGGGGCCCAAATGAATAAATACGCACAAATAAAAGCACACACACATGAAAACACACAGTCCCTCTGAAGGGGCCTTGGGATACACAAAGAAATGCACACAAATAGAAGGATTCCCAATCTTTCCCCATATCTTCTCGGTTTCTGTCTTCCCCCCACTGCCCATATTTCCCCATATGTTCTGGGGAATCGACGATTGATTGTGTCTGTGTTTTTTTTCCCTCCTGATCCTCCCCCGCCCTCCGAGACAGCTCCTTAGCATTCCCCGAAGGCGCAGAGAACTCCTCAGAAGGCGCGAGGGCTCCTGAGAAGCCCCGCCGCCTTCTGAGACGGCCTTCTCCTTCCCGAAGGCACCCCCTCGCTCGCCGCCGAACTCAGTCAGCAAGCGTTGCCTGCCAGCCAGCCAACCAACAGGAAAGCCAACCAAGCTGCCAACCAAGCGTGGCGGCTGGCGGCAGAGGGAGGAGCCCTTCAGATAAAACAAACAAAACACACATTCCTCGATCCTCCCTTCTTCGACCCTCAGTCCTTCCGTGACCCCTCCTCCTGCTCCTCCTTCAATTTCTCCTCCTCCTCCTCGATTCTCCTCCATTTCTCCTCCTCCTCCTCCATCTCCTCCTCCATTTCTACTCCTCCTCCTCCTCCTCCTCCTCCTCCTCCTCCTCCTCCTCCTCCTCCTCCTCCAATTCCTCCTCCTCCTCCTCCTCCTCCTCCTCGTCCTCCTCCTCCATTTCTCCTCCTCCATTTCTCCTCCTCCTCCAGTTTCTCCCAGCTCCTCCTCCCTGCTTCGCGGCAGCGGTCCATCTGCTCGAAAGTCTGCCGCAGCTCGCTCTTGCGGATCGACTTGGGGCCGGGCGCTCGGTTGCCCCACCGAGCGGCGCGCTGCCCCCCCGCACCTGCGCCCCTCCACACCGATCCCCTCCCGGAGCGGAAAAGAACGCGACGGATCGTCCCTCGGCGATCTTCGGCCTAATTATGTGGGCTCTGACTGGGCCCCAGGAGCAGCAGACAACGAAGGAGAGGAGGAGGAGGAGGAGGAGGAGGAGGAGGAGGAGGAGGAGGAGGAGGAGGAGGAGGAGGAGGAGGAGGAGGAGGAGGGTGAGGAGGGGACTCGGGAAGATGCGCCCAGCCCCGGGAAAGTGGCCCAGACGTCGGGGGCCCAACATGGACAGATCACAACCCTGCGGCCCATGTCCGCCTCTGCGCTCGCTCGCTGCATCCCATCTGCTCCTCCTGGGCACCCCCAGGCAGCATACATAGGAAAGGATCCCACGCGACGATAGGTAGAATGTCGGTGGGGACGATAGGTAGGATCCCACGCGACGATAGGTAGGATCCCACGCGACGATAGGCGCGACGATAGGATAAGGGATGGGTGGGATGGGTAGGATGTCGGATGTGGCGCCCGCGCGCGTCGCAGGCGGGAGGTCATGCGGGAAAGCAGACGGCAGACACACGGGAAGACGTGCGGGAGAGACCGCGGAAGCCCCAACGTGGGAGACCAACGATGGAACGCACGAGGAACGCGCGGGATGCCTGCAGGCGGCCGTAAGGACAACCATGGCAGAAACCGCTACGGGAGACCACACACAGGGGAGGCCAATCCGCCGCATCCGACGAAGGCCCTTCCAGGCCGCCCGCAGCCAGCTCGGCAGCTGCCGGGGCCCCGGGGCCGTGAGGCTCCGACGGCCCCGCCGCGGGATCGGGTGTCGGGGAGTCTCTGACATCAGGTCGGGCATGTCCCCCTACAGGCGGGTTTTGGACGAGCAAACAACAAACGTACAAAAGAGTGAGAAGTAGTAGAAACATCGCCCCCCAGACTGTTGTTGGCCATTCTTGAAAACTCCTCCTGTGAAAGGGACGTGCCGGACTTGGCTCCAGCACCCGCCGCACGAGTGCCCCTCCATGCACACGGACGACATCTGATAGCAAGTTTTGCCGAAAAGTGGCAGCGGCCGCTGCTGGGCAGCCGACATTCTCCGCCACAGGCGGGTGACGCTCGCAGCGAGGCTTCGGTCGGGCATGTCCTCCCACAGGCGGATTTATGGACAAATACCAAATACCCCAAACATTCACCAACAATGCTCAAACATTTACAAAACATCGTCCCCCGACTAATGTTTGCCGATTTGGGAATATTTCCTCCTGTAGAGGGACAGGCCCGAAACAAGTGGCACGCGTGCCCTGGCTCTTGCACAAAGGTGTCCGCGGCTCAGGGGGGCTGCCCTGGGAAGCCTGG